GATGATCCGTGATTGGTTGGAATGTGTAGCGATGATCTCTTAAATGGGCAAATGTGTAGAGATGATCTCTGATTGGTTGGAATGTGTAATGATGATCCGTGATTGGTTGGAATGTGTAGCGATGATCTCTGATTGGTTGGAATGTGTAGCGATGATCTCTGATTGGTTGGAATGTGTTGCGATGATCCCTGATTGGTTGGAATGTGTAGCGATGATCCGTGATTGGTTGGAATGTGTAGCGATGATCTCTGATTGGTTGGAATGTGTAGCGGTGATCCCTGATTTGTTGGAACGTGTAGCGATGATCCGTGATTGGTTGGAAACTTGGAATGTGTTGGAACGTGTAGCGATGATCTCTGATTGGTTGGAATGTGTAGCGATGATCTCTGATTGGTTGGAACTTGGAATGTGTAGCGATGATCTGTGATTGGTTGGAATGTGTAGCGATGATCTCTGATTGGTTGGAATGTACAACAATGATCTCTGATTGATTGGCGTGAACATTTGTGCACACTGAATGGTTGAAATGATTGATGTAGATGATGAATAGTTTTTGATTTTATTAATAATGAGTTTTTTTTTTGTCATGCATTTAAACAGTTTGTAAGTGTCCTGTGCTCTCTGATAGGTTGTAACCGTGGCTGTGTACAGTTTCTTTTTGGCTTGTCTGATTGGTCGGCAGTTCCTCGACCCCGCCCAGGGTTACCTGGGTCACAACCTCGACTTCTACCTACCCATCTTCACCTTACTGCAGTTCTTCTTCTATGTGGGCTGGCTCAAGGTGTGTTATCTTATTAGCGAAGTATCACATTAGTTCCACACTCACAGTCCCTAATAACTGGTTTTATTGAATAAAATGACTGTTTAGTGCTCAATAAACATTGCCTAATTATATGGTGTTAACGCAGCTGACATGACATATACAAAACTTGGTTATACATACAAATTTAGTGAAACACCACTGATCACACTGATGTAATGTAGCTACATCATCTGTAACGAAAAGTCAGAAAATAATTGCATTGGTGTGTTTTCAGGTGGCAGAGCAGCTCATTAATCCGTTTGGGGAGGATGATGATGACTTTGAGACAAACTGGCTGGTGGACCGTAATTTACAGGTACATCATCTGCCCCACTAATGACATGTTTCTTGATCTCCTTTGTGTCATTCTGTCTTGTCTTGTTCTGTGGATTTGTGTGTTTGGTTGTACAGTTTCCTGTTAAATGTTCTCCACTTACATGCATCATGGGCCAAAATGACTTTCTATCAACATCCTTTGGCAGAAATACAGCATTGCCGTTTTCAGAAATACACTTGCAGTCACCCATTATTAATTTATTTTGCAACTGAAAATGTCTAATAATACAATATATTAGTATAATATGAAAATTGAGTATTTTTAAGTGTAAAAATGATTTAGTGCACATTTACATTTTTTTATACCTGCATCAAATCTTTAGTTTTTTGTCACATGAGCCAACATTGCAGCTTTGCTCAGATGTTAAACATTCATATTTCTTCTTTTTGTAAGCACCTGTGCTTATACAGACATAAATAGGTGTGTCTTTCTCGCAGGTGTCTCTGCTGTCAGTGGATGAGATGTATGATCTGGTTCCTCTGGTTGAGAGAGATAAATACTGGGATGAATCAGAGCCTCAGCCACCTTACACAGCTGCCAGCGCAGAACACCGCAAACCCTCATTCATGGGATCTGCTTTGGACATCAGGTGACACACACACACACACACACACACACACACACTTAATACACAACTACAGCACACACATGCACATTTTTGGGTGCACAAACAAAATTTGTAGATTCTCTTCATTCTATAGCCATTAAAGTGGCATGAAAAACACTTCTGTAATGTGACATTAACAAGTGAAACAGGATATTCAGCTGAAAATAATCTTTGATATAAACCTCCTCTATATGTTATTTGTTAACAAGTAGATAAAGGTTAAATAATGGAAGGTTAAATAATGATGATTTGTAATTTAAGTGATTTTCTTATGTCAAATGTATTTATTTTTCTTATTTATTTAAGGCAGAACATGTGATTAGAGTAAAAAAAAAAAAACTCGCTGATTGATCAGTACATTAAGATCATTTTTTTGTAATACAAGTTTTCTGAATTGTTATGTTTAAATATGCAAATGAGGCATCATCTAGTTAAATATGCACTAATTTGCATTAAATTCCCAGAACAGAAATCTGAACGCCGCATGAAGCCAGGTTAAAAAGTCTTGTTTCGTTTTGTTGACATATTAGTTTAGAAGGTTTTTACAGAGGGTATTTTGCATATTTCTTTTTATCATTCGATAAATCAGAAAATACTGCCAACAACCAGTAAACATTTTCACAGTGTTTTTAGGAATTTTATATTATAAATTGAATTGTATGTTATATAAATCAGATGAATGAAATATGAACAAACCTCTCTGTAAAAACCTTCAGAAATATATAGGAATAAAACTGTAAAGTTTAGTGTATATAAATGCTGCTGAATTGGAGAAAAACTCCTTTTGAGAAAACCACGTTTAAAGATACGTATGTATTGTAACTGAAATCTACAGACGCAAAATTGGTAAATTGTAATAAAATAAACAAAAAAAAAAATTTATGTGTATTTTGGATGTTTTCTTTCCGCTAGACATGTTATGGAAGCAAAATAGCCCAAAATAACAAAATTAACCCGTGAAAAAACAATGGTTTTGCATGTAGTGCCTTGTCTTAATTGATTATTATTAAATGTTTGGGTGGGATAATATTACAAAACTTAATAGAAACAGAACTGTCAAAAAATATCTTTTTTTATTTCATGGTGACTTGTTGCATAGATCAGTAAAAATGAGCGAGGCAATATATTCAAGATTTAAAAGCATATCTGTTTCCTACGTTGTTGTGATTTGATCTGAACGGAAACAGTGTATCCGCGTGACGCAGCTGACACAGAACAGCATACGTTGTTTCCGTCCAGTGGATATTCTCCAAAATGGCACCAGGGTGATGCGGAGGAGAATGCTACGAACTTCATTTGGACAACTTTAAAGATGATTTTCTCAATATTTAGATTTTTTCGCACCCTCAGATTCCAGATTTTCAAATAGTTGTATCTCAGCCATTATTGTCCTATCCTAACAAACCATACATCAATGGAAAGCTCATTTATTCAGCTTTCAGATGATGTATAAATCTCAATTTCCAAAAATGGACCCTTATGACTTGTTTTGAGGTCCAGGGTCACATTTGGTCTTACAGAAGATCCTCAAGGTCAGTTGCGGGATAAAAACAAGGTCACCGTTCTCTCTCTGTCTCTCAGTGTTCCCAAAGAGGAAATGGAATTCCAGCACAATCTGGAGCAGATTAAAGAACATGAGGAGGCCAATCATTCCACTCCATTCCTGGGCAGTTTGAGTCGCATTCTGGGTGTCCAGTCGCCCAATTTCTCCCGCCCGACCCCCACGTCCCGAGTCTCCCTCCTGCGGCGGCGTCCCCGCGCCCCCTTCTCTCGTTTCCCCCTTTACCTCCATCCCGAGAGCTCTCCGATGCCCAGCCACGCCCGGAATGCTGACATGGAGGATGCGTTCTCATCCATGCCTCTATACGAAAGACCCGGTTTCTACAGTTGCCCTCAGACGCCCATCCACTGCGTCCCTCCGTCCATTCCTCGCCCAAGACTGCGAAGAGCGCACGGCGACAGCTCCAGCTCCCTGGCGCATCCCCTGGTGGGCTCGCCAGTCCTGTCTACACCTGACACGCCCGCGCCTCCTTCCTCCGCCTTCCCTTGGGTGGGCGAAGACAGTGAACATTCGGGTCCCGCTTTCTGCTTTCCAGACCCTGTGCCCGAGCTGTTACCCAAAGTATGGCCAAGTCAAGGGTTGCCGTCGCGTCGGCCCCTGCCTCTACGACTGTCTTTGGACACGTCGCCATCTCCGTCTACACCCGAAAGGGTGTTTTCTTTCACCCCTCCATCTTGGTCGCAAGCTCAAATCAACACCGCCAGTTCAGGGAGTGTGAATGTGACCGCAGCGACAAACAGCAACAGTAACCTGTGCAACGGGGCAGCAAATAATCCCTGGCCAATCAGCAGAAGCACCACTGCAAGCACAGCCAATCCCGTCAGCCCCAGCCCCACGGCGACTCAGCAGACAGCCAATCAGCACAACTCTGCCAATGACTCTGGCATCTCATTGGCTGAGGGGGATCTGTTGGGTGCTGCGGTGAAAATGAGGGAACAGCTCTGAGTTAGGTGGAAAATACCAGCTTAGACCAGCATGAATTCTCTTCCAGACTGGTTTAGAGCTGATCCAACTGGTTAAGATCTTTGCCTTGGGTGAGTGAAGGTAGTGAATATTCGGGTCCCGCTTTCTTCTTTCCGGACCCTGTTTTCGAACTGTTACCTAAAGTACGCCTCAGTCAAGGGTTGCCATTGCACCTGGACACGTCCTCATCTCTGTCTACACCAGAGAGGGTGCTTTCTTTCACCCCTCAACACCGCCAGATCAGAAACTGGGAATGTGACCGACGTCAAACAGCAACACTAACCTGTGCAACAACACCTAGCCAATCAGCAGAAGCACCACTGCAAGCACAGCCAATCCCGTCAGCCCCAGCCCCACGGCGACTCAGCAGACAGCCAATCAGCACAACTCTGCCAATGACTCTGGCATCTCATTGGCTGAGGGGGATCTGTTGGGTGCTACAGTGAAAATGAAGGAACAGCTGGAAAATATACCAGCTTAGACCTGAATTCTCTAGGTCGGACTGATTTAGAGCTGGTCTAGCATGTTTTTGCCTACATTTAAGACATTTTAAGAAACCTCAGTATCAAAAACCTTTCTGTGGTTCTCAGAAGCGGAAGTCGTCATAGATGGGTAAACTTCTACAGTGGTGAACAGAAATTCTCATTTGCCCCATCAGCAAAAGAAAAAAAATCCATGGTAGACTTTCTGACATTCCAAAAGAGGAAAAATATTGAGAGATTAATTACGTTGGCCAGATGTGAGAAAGATGTCAAATTGCCTTCACTCCCTTAGCTGTTGTGTTAGAAACACTCATGCAGAAACTACTTTTATGTAAGTTAATGGAAAGGTAATAAAACACAAAGTATAGTATATATATATATATATATATATATATAACTTTGCTAGATTTATGATGTTAATAACTGTGGAAACGTAATCACAGTCAGTGAATAGGGTCCATGAATTATAACATGCATAATTTGATAAATTCACTTTCCGGTCATTTTTTTATTTTTTATTATTATATTGCTGTACAGTATGTGGTTGGAGACAACTCGTATAAATCAGTAAAATCACTTCTTGATCTCCACTGTCACTCTCATTGCATAAACAATGTTGCAGAATATTTATAAAAATTATAAAACAAATTATATCAAAGAAAATGTCCAGATCCACACAAACTGTAACTGAATTAAACTCTTTTGTACCAACCTGTGCACTTTACACTAATTCTTCTCAGAATGAGGTGAACAGAGGGTAAAATCAAAGCCCTGTTTATTTTTGCCTTGATTTACTGCAGAATATTTATAGTCAGCATTATTCAAGCCACTCAGCAGGTACATAAAATGCATTTCTTCTTTATCTGTATATATTAAGAGTAGATATTATGGTACGTACCTGATGGAAAACTCGCATATAGAGTTTAGTTTTGCAGTGCATTCACATCTAGATTCTTAAATACTTTATATAAACTATTGGAATTTTCATGACCTTCTAGGCCTGTGTGATTAATAATATTGTTGTTTTTATTCATATTTTAAAGTTTTATTTTTAAATATTGTCCATTTTAATTTTAGATTAGGTTTTAGTAATTCTAGATTTTTTTTTCTGGCTCTCTTTCACTTAGTCAGGAAACGCTTAATGAATTATGCATCTATTCTTAAATAATTGATGTATAGGAATTTTCATGAATTTTCTAGTGTTGTTTTAGCATCCTAAATATACTATAATCGTTTTTTGAATTAGTATTTATTTTTATGTTTTCCATTTTAATTTGACTAAGTTTTAGTAATTTTGTGCTTTTGGTCTAGATTTTATTTTTTTTGCTGACTCACTTTCACTTAAAGACAGGAAAAGCTTCATGAATTATGCATCTATTCTTAAATTTCATTCATCATTAATTATGCATGTCTGTTCTCAAATGTCTTGTTCTTTTTCTTTTTTTTTTTGTTACATCCTGCCAGTAAATGTGACCCTGGAGCACAAAAGCAGTGTTAAGTCGCTGGGGTATATTTGTAGCAATAGCCAAAAATACATTATATGGGTCAAAATTATCGATTTTTCTTTTATGCCAAAAATCATTAGGATATTAAGTAAAGTATATCTCAACACTCATATGGCCTGACATGCTTGGCGCACTGACTCCGTCATAAACAGAGAGACTGTCTAAGAGCTTTCCTTTCCCAGAGTGTGTCTGTCAAACAGATATTCGGCCATGCCGTTCTGAGGGGCGCCCATCCGCCGCAGGCTGCTCACCCAGTCCGCCAGCTCTTTAATGGACTTCACCTGCTCGTCCAGGTAATGCATCTCCAGGAAATCACAAACCTGTGACAGAAAGATTCAGAAATACTGACACCGCATTTCCCTTTGTGACACTGTTAGTTTACCACTAACAATCACTTACAGTAATTACAGGTGGTGATTTTAATTCATGGTTTCTACATAAAACTCCTTACAGACGCGAGGGTCAGTCTTGCCTTTCATATTCTCATGAATGTGATCACATAGATAGATCTGATCCTAAACTGGATAAATTATGCGTTCTGGGTAACTCCCTTAAAACAACTGACAGACAAAGCCTGTTCTAGTCGTATCTCTTATGACAAAATAGTACACAATGCTTTTTGGAAATGTTACTACAGGGTTTCCAAACTTTCTGACTAAAGAATTTCTTTATAATGATTTTTAAAAATAATTATCATAAATAGAAATTTCTAGCCAATTATTTATATCTGAACATAACTAGGACATTTAGAAAAATTTTAGAACTTTTGAAATGAATGCATTTATTTTTATCATTGTATCATTAACATTCTATTATAGTTTTTTTTTCAGATTTTGAATTGGTATCTATTTTAATATTTTCAAATTTTCATATTTATTTTAGTTTAAGTTTTAGTAATTTTGTTGTGCGTTTTTGTCATTTTTTTTTAAATGCCTAGTTTTTATTTCAGTTTTAGTTTTTTTTTTTTTCAAACATTTTTGAATTTTTTAATTAGTGATTAACAGGGTTTTCTTTAACTAAAAGTAAAACCATAAATAACATTTTTTTGTTATTTGAAATAAAATAAATATTAACTAAAAATAAATATTTAATATTTTTTTTACACATTTTATTTCAGTTAATGCTTATTTTAGTGCTGGTCAACGATTAATCGCATCCAAAATAAAAGTTTTTGTGTACATAATATCTGTGTGTGTATTGTGTATATTTATTATGTATATATAAATACAAACACATGCATGCATATATTTAAGAAAAATGTTATGTTTATATATTAAATATATTTATATATCAAATAAATTATATGAATATAAATATATGTAAATATTTTCTAAATATATACTGTATGTGTATGTCTTTATATATACATAATACATTACGTTCACAAAAACGTTTAATTTAGGATGCGATTAATCGCGATTAATCGTTGCCCAAGCACTAGTGTATTTTATTTGTAAATAACAAAAGTGTTTTTAATGGTTTAACTTTTTGTTAAAGACAACCAAAAAATAAATTCCATGACCAAACCCTGTGCCCTATTTTTGTGTACTTACATGTGGATCATTATGTTGAGTTGCCAGCTTGTGAAGCTCCAGTAAGGACAGGTTTACACTCTTTTCCAGAGCCAGAGCACATTCCAGCGCTTCCAGACCGCTGCCCCACTCATCCCGATCCGGCTTCTGCACAGACACACGCTCATTCACTCCATTCATTTCCCCATTAGAGAGACAGCGCTGTTCTGTACCTTGATGTCCTGCAGGTAGATCCGTCCTCCTCTGTGGTTCTGCAGACTCATCAGCTTCTCTGCATGCTCTCGCTCCTCCTTAGATTGCTCGTGGAAAAACTTGGCAAAATTGGGCAAAGACTTGTCATCCCTGTCAAAATAATACGCCTGGAAAGAAGAGCAGTCAACCACGAACCCTTTAGAAACCCCTGAGGACAGTTCAGTCCGTTCACACAGAGCTGTAGCGATCGGTCGTATAATGAGTGTGTGCTCTCACCATGGACAGGTAGACATACGAGGCATAGAGCTCCAGGTAAATCTGTCTGTTAATGGCAGCCTCACACTCCTGATGGAAGCTCTGTCTCACCTGAGAAGTCATGATTCTGAAACACACAAGACCTCAAATTGTATCCGTACGTATATATGAAGTTATATTGGTTTGAAACTCTGTTTTGTAAGTTTTTTTAATTTTTTATTATATATATATATACACACACACACACACACACACACACACACACCCATATACATATATATATATATGTTTATAGATAAATATATATATATTTGTTTATGTTTATAGATAAATATATATATATATATATTTATAGATAAGTAGATAAAAAGTATAATATTTTATATATACACAAATAGATGTATATTATAAATTATATATGCATGTACATAGAAGGTCATAGATTTTTTTTGGTTTTAACTAAAACCATTAAAACATTTTCGTTATTTGAAATAAAAAAAAAAATTAGCTAATATAAAATATGTAAAAAAAAAAAAAAAGTTTTCAAAAAAATGAAAATGTTGGTTTTAATGGTTTTAGTTACAGAAAACTAATTTTCAAATTTCATGACATATAAACTATGTAAAAAAAGTGTTTAAAAACATTTTTACATTGTTTATATATATAGAACTTATTTATTTTAGTTGCCAAGGCAACATTTGTAATTTTCATTTGTTTTAATTTGAAGTACTAAAATAACTAAAACTGAAATAAAAAATAATAAAACATATGCAGACGTTAAAAAAAAACACAATAAATGACTAAAATGTAAAGTAAAATAAATATGAAAAAGGAAAATACAAAAAAAAAAACTCACATTTTGAATAAAAACTATAATGGTATATTAATTACACCATGCTAAAAAATTATAAAACACTTAACAAGTGATTTAAATACTCATTTTGTACCCTTATTTTAGATGCACTGCATAAGCATTTAATTTAAAGCGCATTTAATATATAAGAAGATGCAATAATATGTAAATAAGTGATAGCTTACCCTGAGACAAATATGAATTAATCCTGATCCAAATCTCACACAGATCTCTCACAATATGTCCTGAGAAAGAGATGCAAACCGAGACACAAGAGCAGCTCTCTGATGATCAGAATCAGAATTATTGACATAAACAGACACACGCGCGTTATTCTGGCCCATAAATAAACCCCCAGAGGTCACTTTTCAAAATAAAAGTGCTGATTAAAAAAAAAAAAAGATGTAAATGATTTTATATATATATAAAAAACACGTGTGATTTCACAGATACTTTCAATAATATAATATATACAATAATACGCTCGTATTATCTATTTTAAAAATAAAAAGGTTTCTTGAGTTATCCCGGTCCACCTGATGTCGCTGTTTAATGTAGAAGGCTTATAATATGAATATTAATTAAATCACGGTAGGAGCGTCCAATCACTAAACATAATCGGCCTCCTAATCGTTCGTTCATTCGCCTGTCGATTAGCGCCCGCCTACTTACGCCTGCCTTTAAGCCAATCAGTTCGGAATACTTACGAACGTCACGTAACGTAATTAATATTCATGATCCAAACCTTCGCCATAATAGAAGAAAAGCAACTTCTGATGTTTAAAATGAAAAATGCATTCTGTCTCGCTGCATCCACCCTCTACTGTGTTTTTATGATTTAGAGACAACTGGTTTAGGTATGTGACTTTATAAACAAAATCCTTATTTAACCACGAGAAATGTGCAGTATTATGCTAACGATTGTATGAATCAAGCTTTCATGCATGTCTCTACTCAGTGTTTTGAAAACAAAAGTTATCTATGGCCTAATTCTCAAATCCTAGACTATAAAATGTTTATTTTTTATAATTTATTCAAAATTGTATATAAACGATCCTTCAGAAATAATTCTAATATGCTGATTTGGTGCTGAGTTATATTTGATGATCAGTTTTAATACTGGTTCCTCTTATTATTATTATTATTATTAATGTTGTTGTTGTTGAAAACAGTTTTAGATGTTAAAAATCCAGCTTTGCATCACAGGAATAAATTACATTTTAAAATGTTTTGAAATAGAAACAGTTATTTTAAATTGTAATAATACTTCACAATATATATATCAAATAAATGCAGCCTTGGTGAACACAAGAGACTTATTTAAAAACATATATATATATATATATATATTAAATATTCTTTTGACCTATAGTGTGTGTGTGTGTGTATATATATATATATATATATATATATGATGTTTTTTATTATTTAATTCTAATATGCTGATTTGGTGCTCAGTTATATTTGATGATCAATTTTAATAATTATTATTATTGAAAACTGTTTTAGTTAAAAATTCAGCTTTGCATCACAGGAATAAATTACATTTTAAATAGTTTTGAAATAAAAAGTTATTTTAAATTGTAACAATACTTCACAATTATTTTAATCAAATAAATGGAGCCTTGGTGAACA